CTATAATATTGCTCCCCATATGTGAAGTAGGTTGACTGCAGGCACAGTTTCAAGAGTTGACACAGTTGTTCTGTGGAAAGTGTGGTCCTGCTGCTCAGAGTGGTGTCTGATTTTAATCTTAAACTGACCACCTCTACTGCATCATCAACAGGAATGCACGTAAAGAGTGATGTGACATCAAAAGAGACCATTGTTTCATCAGTCTCCATGATGACATCCCTCACCTTATCCACAAAGTCCATGGTGTTCTGTATGTGGTGTTCTGAGCTGCCAACTAAAGGGATGAGTACAGATGTCAGATATTTGGAAACATTGTAAGTGACAGAGTTAATCATGCTAACAATAGGTCTTAAAGGTACACCTTGTTTGTGGATTTTAGATAAACCATACAGACTAGGTGTGGCCTCCCCTGGGTACAGTCTGTGGTACAGAATACGGTCAATAGCCTTGTCCTGCTCCAAAATTTTCAGGCAATCTATCAACTTCTTCTTGTAACCACTTCCTGGATCTCTTTTCAGCAGCTCATAAGTGGTTAAGTCACTAAGGAGTGTCATAACTTTCTCATGATAGGCTTTCTGGTTCAAAATCACTGTGCACCTTCTTTGTTCTGCTGGGATGATGATGATGTTGTTCTGGTCCTTGCTGAAAGTGGTGAGTGCATCCCTTTCCATTCTCCTCTCTGCTGATGTTGGAAGGTGGTGGATTGACATTGCTGAGGCAGAATGAAACTTTGTTCCGAAGTTGCTCGGCTTTATATTCTTTAATTCTGTTGCTGCGGATGGTCAATTCTGTGGCTGTGATCATCTCCACCAGAGGAATTCTTCTTGGCGCAACCACCAAGTTCAGTCCACTGGCAAGAATCTCTGTCTCCGGCTGGGTGAGCTGTCCTTTAGATAAATTCTTCATCCACTTTTCTGTCTCCCTGGCATGTGGCTGTCCGGTGTGTTGTCTTCCACTGAATGTGTTGTTATTGGAATTGGGATGGGCTTCATGAGTTATTAGTAAATTAATCTTCTTTTGTTGTTGTGTCTTGTACTGGATATGCTGTGCTAAATGTGCCGTATCTGTGAAATCCATCATTTGTTGAAATGTGGTCTGATCTAGGCATGTTGTTAGTTTTTGTCCGATTTGCTTTTCTTTGCCCTCTAAAGCCTCAATGGTAAAATTGGTCCATTTCACCTATTCATTCAGCAGCTGGGTCTGTGCCTTCTGTAAGATCTTGCTTGCACGGTGCCCGCTGACAGAAGATTTGAGTTCTAGGCTCTTGGGAAAGGTGCTACTCTGTCGGCATCGGAGGCTGAATCTCAGGTGGTTCCTGTAGTCTGCCCTCTTCCCTGCTGTTTGTTCAAACTCTGTAACTAGTTTGAGGCAATCCTGGCCAAAGTGGTTCAAAATATCCTGATACATGCTCAACAATCCTGGTAGAAAAAAACTAACAAACTGAAGTCATGTCCTCTGGATGGCTTTAAAAAAAAAAAAATTGTTAAAACGTTTATACAGTACAAGTTTTATTTTTTGGAATCCGTCCAGAGGACCTGACTTAACTTTATTAGATATACTGGTCATGATTTAAGGCAGCAAAAGAAGTGCATTTAAAGCATTGAAGAGGGTGAACAGTTTTATAGACACTATTTCTGCAACAAGACTATGGTCACTGCCTTCAGTTCTGATCACTGCCATCTTAAATAAAGCATATTTAAAATCATTTACTACGTCACATAATCTAAAGGTTTGTTATCACCTTATTTAGCAGTGAATAATATAAAAAAGCCACCATTGTAAAAAAAACAATATTTATCAAATACACATTTACAAAAGGGATGAAAAGGAGAATTGTTATCAAATAACACATTTATAAAGAATTTAGAATATGTTTGAACACAATAAGGAAAGCGTTTTCCGTTAGCCACCGCTGACTGGACACTGCTCATCATTTCTCCATGTTTGGACTAGGGCTTTAACAGACTACTCGAGTAATCACACATCGATTCCTAGGACATCTATAGTTTTTTTAATTTTACGTTGAGTATTTGTGGTGATGTCATTACGCCGCCGTTACATCATTGTGTCACGTGTCACATGATCCGCACCAGGCACGGGTTACAAAATGGATCCCTCCAAGCAGACTGATGGAGCGGAGCAGGCCCAGTCTTGACAAACAGGTAAAAATGTATCAATAGTCTGGAAATATTTCACTAAAGATGAATCTTCTGGTTCAACTACCGTAAGGAAACGGAAAATGAATCAACTTCCTGACTGTTTGGAGCTCATTGTGAACCGGTGTTATACCATATTCTGTGACCACCATATATTGTGACCGTAGGGGGCGGTGTTGCATGCACTGTTGCAGGTCACAGAATATGGTGCAACACCGGGTCCAATCACCGAACCAGAACCAGCTTCCTCTGACCTTGTTTCACAAACAAAAAGTAAAAAATACTAATCTCTAAACCTCTACAAAAATCTATAAACATATTAATCTCTAAAACTAAACCTAATGCGCACCACAACTGGCGGTGGTGCGGGGTGGTCGTACGCTCCACTGTTTTTAGTTTAGTTTTTGACGTGCCGCACGTTTCTTTCACTTTTTCAGCTTAATAATAAAAACTAATAGTTTAGTTTTTCCTGTGACTTATTTGCAGTATGATAAGTGGTAGGAGCATAATTTATGCTCCCAATGTTTTGTTGGTCTTTTTTTTTTGTAAATAATGACCTTTTTTGCGGTTTTATTTATTTATTTATTTTTGTATCTTTAGATCCTATGATGTCATCCAGTACTCGAGTTCTACTCAAGTTTTATTGTGTTAAAGTCGAGTTTAAAAATTATGTAGTCGTTCAACCCCTAGTTTGGACAGAACCAGTCAGCGCTGTCCTGCTGTCACAGCATGGCTTTTTCCGTTTAGTTTTTGTTCTTACCATAGCTTTATTCTAGACTTATGTTCATTTTGCAGCCTGTTTTCTCCTCACCCCTCTCATCATTAGTTCCTTTAGATTTGTGTTCAGGTCCCTCCATAGTTTAATGAGTCACGTTCTCTTCTCCCCATGTAATTCCAGGCCAATGTCATTCTCCCATCAGTCCTTTTTTCTGATATTAAAGACTCTTGGTTTTGATTCCTTATGTGGGTCTGCAGTTCTGGTCATCTTCGATCCCTCAATGTTTCACCAACACTTCTGTGGTCTTGTAGTTGTAAGAACACTTAGGCTCTTGCTCTTGAATTCACCACCTTCATCTTCTTTAGTTTTGTGCTTGCAACTCCAATCATATGGCTTGTATTTATACAGTCAACCCAAAATGTAAGCTTTATGTCCATCTTTCATGCCTTGTGTCCTGTTTCTTGTGTATTTTTGAGAGTGCTACACACAGGCCTGGCAAGGTTACTGCAGCGTTTGTGTAATATTTGTGTGTACTGTGTGGATACATCGGTTCAGAAATAGTGCCATGTGCTACAATGTTTATAGAAATCAAAATAAAATGTTTTTGTGTGGAAAGTTGGAGTTTATCGCCCCTAGTTGAAGCTATAATGGTCTGTTTGGCGTGTTGACTGATGACAGAGCCGACTCACCCCTCCACATGAAGCCACAAGCCGTACTGATCACACAACTCTCTGAGGCGGCTCAGCTTATCAGTGTGACCTGCTCCAGGGGTACCTGGGGAGAAAAAACAACAACAAAGCTAACAGTAAAAAAAAAAAAAAAAGAATTGTCTGACAAATATATGTAAAGTGAAAAGAAAGCCTGTTATGGGTCAGAGATGTACTGTTAAAGAAACGATTTTAGGTCCTGTAAGCACTCGTGCATACACATTTCAAAATGTCCGCTCTGATCTGCGATGTTCCTCACCTGCGTTAGCCATCACCAGCAACGGGAGCTTGCCAGCTTCCCTGTCTTCTTTGATCAGTTTCTCCAACAGGGCAACATCCTTGTAGAAACAAACGGCACACGTTGGAATCATTTTGATTTGATTTGCCTGGTATTGCTACGCGTTTCTTTCTGTATGAACTCACCATTTGGTGCTGAGATCCAAAGATGGTGTTGCATGGCACAGTGCACAAACTGGACAGAGGCAAGCCAAGCTAATAAGAGAATACGATCATCAAAACCACATCTTTGATTTGTTGGCAACACACAATCATTGTAATAAAAACTGACATCAACTTCCTGGCTACTGATCAATGATTGACAGTTTGAGACAAAGTGTCCCCCCCCCCCCCCCACCCCGTTGAGCTAACTTCACACCTATCATGGTCAAAAGAAAGGACACCCAGTTCCAAACAGTTCTGTTGGAGGAAATAAAGGATGTTTCTCACTAACTTATATAAACGTGTGTGTGTGGACGATGGCTCAGTGGTTAGCACTGTTGCCTCACAGCAAGAAGGTCCTGGGTTCAATCCCCGGTTGAACCTGGGGTCTTTCTGTGTGGCGTTTCTATGTTCTTCTCGTGCTTGCATGGGTTTCCTCGGTGTCATCCGGTTTCCTCCCACAGATCAAAAACATGCATGTTAGTCTGCCTTCAGGGCCAGGCCTCCCTTGCAAAGAGATCTGTGATCTCAATGGGATTTGCCTGGTTAAATAAAGATTAATACTGTGTGTGCATGGAGTTGTTTTGTCTTTGCAAAGTGGAGCCTGCAGAAGCATGGAGCCTTTCACCTGAAAAACTCAAGGCCCTAAGCTGGAGAGCAGAGTTGTCTGACCTCGCCTTTGTTTGAGAAGCATTATAAAAACACACTTCCTTATACCGCCTGTGAGCAGGTTTGGAGACGAAGCGACATGTAAACATGTTGATGCTTGTTTGCTCAACGCTGCTCCATCTTGCAACATTAAAGCCTGGGTTAAGAAAATATCTTCTCCTTCCTGTGTGGCTTATTTGTTTAATGAGCCGATGATAGGATAATTAAATTATTTAACAAGTTCCCAAATGGTGGACCACAGAGACCCAAATGAAGTCTCATCTGGACCATACACATTATGAAAAGGTGGCCCAAGAGCCTGTCTTCTCTCGTTATTCAGAAGTGAACAACGCATTGTATTTTCAAAGAGTCTGCACACTAAGGACATGGAGCTGAAAGTGCCCCCTACACACACTCCAAAACCTCTGAGACTGCCAGGCTGTCACATATAACATGACACTTTTCTTCAAGTCTCAAATTACTAATTAAAATAAAAAGTATACATCAAATATTACAACAGCGGCAGGTAAGAACGATGTAAAACAATAAAATTAAACACCTACAAATAATTATCTGAAGTGTATTTTATTTTTAGTCAGGAGAATGCCCCGTTGATGTAAATGAAGGAGCAGGATTTAATAAATGCAGCTATGAATTATGGGGCGCTGGTCTTTTGAGACTTCAACTTGGGCCTATGGTCCCGTCCATTGTTGAACTGTAGCTGGATCTGTACATAAATCAGCTGTTAGGATGAAGTGAGTGTTGATTAGGTCATGGCAAATGGAGAGGAAATGGTTGGGGATGATAAAGCTGCGTTTAAAGTAACAATCTAAAGAATAAAACAATGCAGTCTTAAGAGGAAGAAGCAACAAATGCAAGTAAAAGAAAAGGTGAGACAGATGTTTTGTCTGAATCTGACAGTGACTAACAGACTCTCGAACCCTCAACTCCTGAATAGATCTGTAGTTTTTAAGTAGCCACAGGAAAAAAAAGGATGTGGCTAAGAATTATCCTCCCAACATAAAACAGTTTCTTGATTCAGCTAAGTGGTAAAAAGTGCTCACGGTTTAAGAGACATTGAACAGGTCTCTTGTAAATGAGTCCTCGTGGCTCAATGAGACTAGCCTGCATGTATAAATAAAGGTTGAATGAATTAACTGAATTTTATCAGCATTGAAAACTGATGCAGTAAAGGAGAACTCCAAAAAATGATGTTTAAAAAAGAAAAAGTCTGCAGAAACCATGCTGAGCATCTTCCATATGACTGATCGTTTTACGGTGAGCAGTTTTAAAATCTTTCAATTTAAATGTGAAAAAACAGCTTCATTTTATAATGCCCCAAAACAAAGAAGGTATTAATACTGATTTGTAGTGCTGATAATAAAGCCAACATGGAAGACACAATGGGATGGGAATCAGTCCCTAAAACTTCTTTGAGTGCATGAATATGAATTTTTTTGGATATTTTTGTTACTAAAATTTTTTGGTTGAAGAAATTGTTCCAGGAAGTTGATGAAAGTGACTGCTAAATACAAATAAATAACTTTGATCATTTAAATTTGCTGGAATATATACAGTTAAGGGCAGCACGGTGGTGCAACTGGTAGAGCTGCTGCCTCTCAGCGAGCAGGTCCCTGGTTCAAACCCCGGTCCGGGGGCCTTTCTGGGTGGAGTTTGCATGTTCTCTCCGTGCATGCGTGGGTTTTCTCCGGGTGCTCCGGTTTCCTCCCACAGTCCAAAAACATGCATGTTAGGCTGATTGGTAACTCTAAATTGTCCCTAGGTGTGAGTGAGAGAGTGAATGGTTGTTTGTCTCGTTTGTCTCTATGTGTCCCTGTGATGGACTTGCGACTCGTCCAGGGTGTCCCCCGCCCCTCGCACAGTGATTGCTGGACATGGGCACCAGTGACCCCCGTGACCCAAAATGGAATAAGCAGGTAAAGATAATGGATGGATGGATAAACATTTAACTAAATTAATCCTTGTTGATTAAAAAAAAAAAATATATATATATATATACTGTTTCAAGATTTGTGCCTCATGCTGTGGTTTTAGAAAAAGACTTCAACTGAACTGTTAGTCATGGACAGAACCATCTCCAAGACATTCATTGAAACATATTACTGAAACTTATGAGACGTTGATGTGAGGCCTCTAAATGTGGTACAACAGTTATTATATACTCACTGTGAAAAGTACATTACTTTACAAACACTAGGCAGATTTTATTATTTTCAACATAATTCATATGTTTAGATCATGTTTTTGAATCCTGTTGGGTTTTCTAACCACAACATGATAGCTGAAAAAGATTTTCTAAATGCAGTAAAACCTAAAAGTGCATATTGGCATTTAAAGAACAACAATTCTGCAAAATGGTGTTTTAAGTAGTGTAAAAAAAAGTGTAGCATGCAAGTAGAGTGTATTTCTCCTTTTTGGAAGTAGTAAAGAAGAACTAAGAAATATATCAGGTTACCTCTAAAGAACGTGAGATTGTGGAAAAATACAAATAAATCAGTTTGTATGAAGATAAAATTGTCTTAAAAGTAGTAGTCGCACAAGCATAAACCAAGTTTTACAAAATTTATATAATGTTTTTTTTACATGTACATATTTCAATTTGTACTAATAAAAATATTCTGCACATACAAAGTGTTAAATGTTTAATAATAATAATAAAAATAGTGTTATTAACCTTTGAGTTTACATTAACTGACTACACAGCCACCGAGACGAAATTTCATTTTAACATGTGTTTATCCAGAATGCTGCAACCAAATTTAAATCATCTCTTCCATTGACATTTTCCTCCGTCTTGCGGAGTAATGCAGTAGAGAGCAGTGACTTAGATTTGCTTGATTGATTTCCTTTGTTTTGTTTTTTTTGAATGTCCAGAGGACCAGATTTAACTTTTTTAGATTTTTCTACCTGGATTATTGAGTATGCATCAGGATATTGCTAAAGTTGTGAAAAGTATCATCACTGTTGAACCATGTATCCCTACAACTACAGGAGATGGTCATAAAATCATAAAATCATGAAAAAGCTGATTTCAGAAATTCCATTCAAAAAGTGAAACTTGTATATTATATTAATTCATTACACACAGGCTGATATATTTCTAATGCTTATTTATTTTAATATTAATTATTATAACTGACAACTAATGAAAACCCCAAATTCAGTATCTCAGTTAGTTAGAATATTGTGAAAAAGTTCAATATTGAAGACACCTGGTGCCACACTCTAATTAGCCAATTAACTCAAAATATTTGCAAAGGCCTTTAAATGGTCTCTCAGTCTAGTTCTGTAGCTACATAATCATGGGAAAGACTGCTGACTTGACAGTTGTCCAAAAGACGACCATTGACACCTTGCACAAGGACGGCAAGACACAAAAGGTCATTACTAAAGACGCTGGTTGTTCACAAAGCTCTGTGTCCAAGCACATTAATAGAGAAGTGAAGGGAAGGAAACGATGTGGTAGAAAAAAGTGTACAAGAAATAGGTATAACTGCACCCTGGAGAGGATTGTGAAACAAAACCCATTCCAAAATGTGGGAGAGATTCACAAAGAGTGGACTGCAAATGAAGTCAGTGCTTCAAGAACCACCACGTACAGACGTATGCAAGACATGGGTTTCAGCTGTTGCATTCCTTGTGTCAAGCCACTCTTGAACAAAAAACAGCGTCAGAAGTGTCTTGCCTGGGACTGCTGCTGAGTGGTCCCAAGTTATGTTCTCTGATCAAAGTAAATTTTGCATTTCCTTTGGAAATCAAGGTCCCAGAGTCTGGAGGAAGAGAGGAGAGGCACAGAATCCATGTTGCTTGAGGTTCAGTGTCACTTTTCCACAGTCAGTGATGGTTTGGGGGGGGGCATGTCATCTACTGGTGTTGATTCACTGTGTTTTCGGAGGTCCAAGGTCAACTCAGCTGTCTACCAGGAAGAGCACTTCATGGTTCCTGCTGCTGACCAACTTTATGGAGATGCAGATTTCATTTTCCAACAGGACTTGTCACCTGCACACAGTGCCAAAGCTACCAGTACCTGGTTTAAGAACCATGGTATCCCTGTTCTTAACTGGCCAGCAAACTCACCTGACCTTAACCTCATAAAAAATCTATGGGGTATTGTGAAGAGGAAGATGTGATACACCAGAGTCAACAATTCAGAAGAGATGAAGGCCACGATCAGAGCAACCTGGGCTCTCAGAACACCTGAGCAGTGCCACAGACTGATCGACTCCATGCCACGATTGCTGCAGTAATCCCGGCAAAAGGAGCCCCAACTAAGTATTGAGTGCTGTACATGCTTATACTTTTCATGTTCATACTTTTCAGTTGGACAACTTTAAAAAAAAAAATTATTTATTCATTTATTCATTA